GCCCAGCTAATTTTTTTATTTATTGTAGAGACAAGGTCTCGCCATGTTGCCCAGGTTGGTCTCGAACCTGTGAGCTCAGGCAATCCTCTCGCCTCTGCCTCCCAAAGTGCCGATGGCTGGCAATTTTCAAATAAAGCTCATAAGCTTGCTTTCCCTGTTGACTCGTTAATTAATAGAGCTTTCTTTTTTTAAAGAAAAAGACACAGACACTGAGAACTAACCTCTTTCCCATACAGGTTGGCTCATCCTGAGTAGAGTGGAAGTAAAGTGACCAAGGCAAAGAGAACCAAAGACATTTCAAGTCACACTTCCTGATGTTTTCAACAATCCTCAAGATGTTAAAAATGCATTCTACCTAAAAAGCCTCAGTGATACGCCAATACACAAGCTTCAACTGCCTTCTACTGCCAGGAAGTTTTCCAACTTGTCTGCTCTGGTTTTTATCAGCTTCTTTGTTAACCCTTTCTGAGCTAGATGCCTTTAGTCCCTTGACAAACACTAACCAGTCCTAAGATTCAGCTCAGCCAACTGGTGTCTCCTCTTAGTCCTTTTTTTTTTCTTTTTATAAAAACAAATTGCTAGCAGGCTCGGTGGCTCAGCCTGTAATCCCGCGCCTTGGGAAGCTGAGGTGAGTAGATTGCCTGAGCCCGCGGGTTCGAGACCCGCCTGGGCAACTTGGTGAGACCTCATTTCTACAATAAATCAAAAAATTAGCCGGACGTGGTAGCGCGCGCCTGTAGTTCCAGCTACTTGGAAGGCTGAGGCAGAAGGATCACTGGAGCCCAGCAGGGCGAGGCTGCGGTGGCCGGGAGCAGCCACTGCACTCCAGTCTGGGTGGCAGAGTGAGACTCCAACTCAAAAAAACAAACAAAAAACAAACAAAAAAACAAAAAAACAAATTGCTTTCCTGTTTTCACATGCCTCCTTAGTACCTCTTATCATATTCTTCCCTCTTGTCTTCAGCACTACATACAATCACTTCCTCTCAGAAAAAGACAAGAAATTAGGAAGCATGTCTTCCAGTCCATGAACAATTGTTTCTCAGTTTCCTCATCTGTTATTTGCAAAGTGGAAACTGAATAAATTGATTTTTAAAGTCCCTATAAAAATGGTAAAATAAATTATGATTCAATATATATTATTCAATCTTAAAAAATAATAAGGAAATAGACTGAACTCAAATGTATTTTATTCATTAAAAAAGGCAATGCAACAAATAGTATTTACAGTGTGTTATCAGTTGGGGGGAGCAGAACAAAGAAACTATCTAATGTTCTGTAAATGTGATAATATTGGTAGTCTGAAGGGAAGGCAAGGAGGTGGAAACTGTTATAAAAGGATGCCAAACTCCGTAAAATCTTTTTTTTTTTTTTTTTGAGTCGGAGTCTCGCTCTGTCACCCAAGCTGGAGTGTAGTGGTATGCTCATGGTCACCACAACCTCAACCTACTGGGCTCAGGCAATTCTTCCCTTCAGCCTTCCAAGTAGCTGGAAACACATGCATGCGCCACCACACCTGGCTGATTTTTCTGATTTGTTGTAGAGATGAGGTCTCGCCATATTGGTTAGGCTGGTCTCGAACCCCTGCGTTCAGACAATCCTCTTGCCTCTGCCTTCCAAAGTGCTGGGATTATAGGTGTAAGCCACTGCACCTGATTTGTGAAATCTCTTAAAATGGTTTATTCTGAACTAAACTTGAGGACCTCATTTTTAGGAGGTCCTGAGAGCATGTACCCACTGTGGTTGAATGGTAGTGTTAGGTTATATACATTTTAGGAAGACAGAAATTACAAGGAAGTGTAAATCAATTCATTGGTTTTGGCAAGGAAGGAAGGACATTTCTAACCAGGGGATTGTAGGTCATAGGTGAATCCAAAGATTTCTTGACTAGTAATTTGTAGTTCCTATCTAAGGAATTTTGGAAATCTGCAAAGGAGATGTCTTGTTGAGATAAGGGGACTGAAATTCCAGATTTGTTGAAGTCCTATACAAGATCTGACAATTAAGTTCTCAAACTCATCCTAGAAAAAGTGCTACTCACCTCATTGCTGAATATCACTATGGTCACCTTCAAAGTACTCCCCTTGGGAAGCTATGTACAGACGCCAGCACTCAATCCTCCTGTCAAAACAATTTTGGAACCCTTTTTCTGGAATGGCATATTCCAGAACTGTCATATTACACTTGATGTCCTGAATGTCATCAAAATGTTTTCCTTTCAGTATTTTCTTTATCTTCAGGTAAAGAAAAAAGTCATTGGGGGTCAGATCAGGTGAGTAGGAAGGGTGTTCCAATACAGTTATTTGTTTACTGGCTAAAAACTCCCTCACAGACAGTGAGATGATGCATTGTTGTGATGTAAGCGCTCCTTCAGGACCATTTTTGCACACACATTTGTCATGCCAAGATTTTCAGTTAAGATTTTCCTGTTTTTCTATCAATGTTTATTTGGTCTTTTATTCTTCTCCCATTCAGCCAATGATTTTGATGCACAATTCAACGAATTTTTGAAATGTTTTGTCAATTCTGCTTGTTATTGGCCGTCCTGACCTCTCTTCATCAGTGATGCTTTCTCTCCTCCCACAATAATGTTTAACCTGACCGGGCGCGGTGGCTCAAGCCTATAATCCCAGCACTTTGGGAGGCCTAGGTGAGAGGATTGCCTGAGACCACAGGTTCAAGACCAGCCTGGGCAACATGGTGAGACTTTGTCTCTACAATAAATAAAAAAAATCAGCCAGGTGAGGTGGTGCATGCCTGTGGTTCCAGCTACTTGGAAGGCTGAAGTGAAGAATTGCCTGAGCTCAGCAGGCTGAAGCTGCGGTGGTTGGGAGTGTGCTACTGCACTCCAGCCTGGGTGACAGAGTGAGACTCCAACTCAAAAAAAAATTTTAAAAATAATGTTAAATCCATTTGTACACTGCATTATCCCCATAAACTTGGACTAATATGTCCCTGATTTTACTTCCATTCTTGCCAAGTTTAACAAGAAATTTAATGTTTGTTGTTCTAATTCAAACTCCAACATTCTCGTGACAACAGCTCTGATAGCCATTCCAGAAATAGAGTTCCAAAATTGCTTTGACAAGTGGATTAGGTGCTAGCATTGGTGCATAGCTTCCCAAGGAGAGTACTTTAAAGGTGGCTGTGGTGATATTCAGCAATGAGGTAGGTAGCACTTTTTCTAGGAGGAGCTCATGAATTTAATTGTCAAACATCGTTTGTGGCAAATTTCAGAGAGCAGAAGTCAGCTTTGCAGGGCCATAAAATACTTTGATTTCCTTCTTTATATGTTATGTGAGGTTATGCCAGAGTCAGTTTGGAAAACACACTATAGGATATAGGATAATAAAACCCTATCTGGCGAGTCCTTATCAGTTGTGACTCCCAAGTCTCTTAATCAGAAATAAAAAGAGAAATAAAAGAAAAAGGTCACAGTTTAGCACTCAAAACTTTTCATTGTAAATTGTTTTGTTCCTTTTGAATTTTGAGACTTGTGACTATATTACCTATTCAAAGCAAAATTAAAAACAAAAAACGAAATTCTTGTTACTTCTGATATAAGGAGTATCTCTGGTATTATCCATCCTGCTTATTATTTATTGTTTTTAAACCACATGGCCTAAACTATGAGAAAAATAAGATTCTTCCCTAAATGCATATGGTACAGAGAGGTAGAAAGGGATTGAAGTTGGAAAGTATTTGCCTTTGTTATAGTCTATTATACCTCACTTCAGTTAAATGCAGTTCCAGGTATAAAACCCCTTTTGCCTGTCACTGGAAATTACCTGTAAAACCTTGGGAAAATCTCAAAAAGATTGATTCTCCCTCCTGTATTTACAAAGAAAACTTCTGAAATCTTCTGAGAAACTCCTTGCTCTCAGATATATATTGATTCTTCTGGAAGTCTCAGGGAAAAGCAGAGGTGGGGCATGGAGGAGAGATCAGCACATTTTTTCTGTAAAGGGCTTGATTACTAAATATTTTAGACTTCGTGGGCCATATAGTCTCTGTCACTACTACTCAGACACCAAACTCTGCCTTATGTCATGAAAGCAGCCATAGGCAATATGTAAGTGAATGGCATGGCTACATTCAAATAAAACTTTGTTTACAAAAACAGGCTGGCCAGATTTGACCTGTGGGCCGTAGTAGGCTGACTTCTGACATGGAGGATGAAGTCACCTGTTTATGAGTATTTATTTTGGTACCTAATTCGAATTCAAATATAATACCAAGTATGATTTAGAATACAATCACCTGAAAATTTAGTGCCAAGGAAAAGTGGCTATGAATTCTTACCAGGATATTGAACTGTCAGACCACAGTAGGTGGCCACGTTGACAAAGAGGACATGCTTGCCCACATACTTCTTGAACGAAATGTGTTCCTTTCCATTAAGAGTGTGGGCCCCATAGTCATAGATGGTGCCTTTCACATCTTTGTAACAATCCATCTGAAAGATTAAAAAAATAAAATATTAGTAGCAACAATTTCTGGTATCTGTGTAATCTTTCAAAGCACTCAAAGGATGATACATGTCATATTACTGAGACCAGAAAACAAATAGAAGTTGTTTAAGATGTCAGTGATACAACTGAAACTTGGTTCTTATGAGTTGGAAATCCAATAAAGTCTCTATTGCTATTATTCTGGAAGATGTAAGATAACAGGAAATGCTTGGATTAATGAAAAAGAACAGAGATTCATGAATTGGGATAGGAGGAGCTGGAAGTAGTCAGGCACAGTGGCTCATGCCTATAAACCCAGCACTTTGGGAAATGGAGGCAAGATGATTGCCTGAGCCCAGGAGTTTGAGACCAGCCTGGACAACTTGGTGAGACCTCATCTCTACATAAAAAAAAATTAGCCAGGCGTGGTGGCACGTACCTGTGGTTCCAGCTACTTGGAAGGCTGAGGTGGAAAAATTGCCTGAGCCCAGCAGGTAAAGGTTGTGGTAGCCGTGAGTCTACCACTGGACTCCAGTCTGGGCGACAGAGTGAGACTCCTACTCAAAAAAAAAAAAAAAAAAAAAGTAGGAGCTGAAAGTAAGTGGGACCAAAAAGAAAAGCACACCAACTGTGTTTCATGCTTCTGTGAAAAATGAAGCTACTCCCTTGGATTGGGGGCTCTGGATTTGATGTCGGATGGGGTGTGGTATGTTCTGTGGGTGCTTGATTTCACCACAAAAAATTTTCAGAGAAAATCTAAAGTATAATTTAGGAAAAAAAAAACACTAGAAAGAAAAAAGGCATGCTCAAGGAAAAGTGTAGGTGCCTTAAGAGAAAGGACTCATTTGCCTTTGATAAGAAGCTTTATACTTTTACAACAATGATTAAGCAAACCACAAACTAAGAGCAGAAGAGTACAGGTATCTGGTCATGAGTTTTGATTACCATCTCTCAACCTTGTAAGGTTGCAAGGACCTTCTAAATAATGAAAGTTACTGTTTAACTAGATTTGAGCCTTTCCTTAGAACATCATGTCTATGTTTTGGATCATTCCTTAATGTTTCTGTGATTTACTGCACTGGTAGTTTTACATTTCAGCCCACGAAGCGGTCAGGTCTGATATGCCTGGTCAGTTGTGTGAAGGTCATGTTTGGATAAGAAAGATTTCTGAACCCCTACCCTATTTTAATTTACACCTGTCTGCAAGAAACTCATCTATCTATCTCCACCTGCCCTGGTTAACCTGCCTTAGATTAAAGGCCTCACTCCTGGACTGTCTCAGAGAAGGGCAGACTTTAAATTGCTTAATTATTTTAGCATGCCCCTGTTACTTCTCTTCCCCCAGGTCACCAGATTTCCTACCCCACTCATCAGCATGTGAAATAGAAAGAACGCTGTCCTGGGAATCAGAAAATAAGCTCTATTGTTAAATTCCTTTGTTAACCTAGGCAGTTCTTATCCCTGGCCCTGGGTTTCCCCATGAGTCAAATGAAGATATTCATCTAAATTTTTATTAGAACTTCAAGGGGCCTTGCAAGTCTAATATTCTAGAATCTAATATTATCCCCATCTTGAATAATTTTCTCTCTTCTGTAACTTTCTTACTCATGATAGTCTTAAAATCCAATACTATGAAACTCCAGATTTTTTTTTTTTTTTTTTAGCTCCCAAGAAAGGAGACGGAGAGCCCTCAACTCTGCAAATGGATCACTGAAATCTTTCTGGCAGCACCTGACCTATCACAAACTCAGCTCCCCTCCTCACTGTGTCCCAAGTGTCCAATACTCACCTTTGTCATTATCTCCATCTATCCCACTCCTTCTTAAATTGCCTGAACAGGCCGGGCTCAGTGGCTCAGCCTGTAATCCCAGCACTTTGGGAGGCCGAGATGAGAGGATTGCCTGAGCCCGTGGGTTTGAGACCAGCCTGGGCAGCTTGATAAGATCTCGACTCTACAATAAAATTAAAAATAGCTTGGCGTGGTAGCACGTGTCTGTAGTTCTGGCTACTCAGAAGGCTGAGGCGGAAGGATTGCTGGAGCCCAGAAGGTCGACGCTGGGGCGGCGGTGAGCGTGCATGCCACTGCACTCCAGCCCGGGTGAAGGAGTGAGACTCCAACTCAAAAAGAAAAAAATCTCCTGAACACATTTGAACAGGCTTCCACACAACATTTGTTAAGTTACTTATAACAGAAATAAGTCCTACCTGAAATTCTCATTGCATGTTCTTATGTTAAATTCCTCTATAAGGCACGTCTCATGTTATTCCTCCTCTGACTCTATCCTTGCAGAATCCATCAGTCAAGAAGCACTGATACCCCAATGCTCACCAGCACATCCTGACTATTTTCCCTATATTGGGGAAGTTACTACACATTTGAAAAGGAAGTTATGTGTTCAAAGCATCCAGTGAGAAAAAAGCAGAAAGGAACTGGCTAGAGAAAGGAGAGAAGGGCATTATCTGATAAAGAAGGCCCAGAATTAAACTAGGATTAAACTAGCCTTCCTGGAAACGCAGTGTACTAGAAAATATTTTAATCAAGCACCATTTGCCCCCATCCAGAAAAGAAGTAATGCAAAATAAAACAAAATCCAACTTTTTCCAATCCTATAAGCCCACTAATTCTATCACTAGCTCACTGGTTGTAGCTATATATCCCTGCTCTTAGGGAGAAAGGTGTTTTCTTTATGCAGGTTTTTGCACATTTCCCTAAATTTACACATACATACACGTACCATCAAAATGAGGCATGAATAAAGGGAATATTAAATGAAAGCATCCATTCCTATCTCCATGATGCCTGGTTTCAAGTAAAACATTTAAAATAATTTGCCTTTTTTTTTTCTTTTGCTACTGCAATGAAAATCACTGACAATCATTTGGGGTATCAGGATGAAGGGGCTTAAAGAGACTCTGAACTCAGAGATTCCCTTTAGTCCAGTTTACTCCTAATATTGATGATTGTTTCAAATTTATTTTTCAGTATCTTGTGTCTCAAATATCTCCAGACTCAGATTTTATTGAGACTCTATAGCCTAGAGTCTCCATATCCAATTAAGCAGCACTGGGTAACATAAAAACCATATCAATTCTCATATTAGAAAGTCACCCTTGGGTTCAAGACCAACCTGAGCAACATGGTGAGACCTTGTCTCTATGATAAATCAAAAAATTAGTTGGGCATGGTAATGTGCACCTGTAGTTCTGGCTATTTGGAAGACTCAGGCGAAAGGATCGTCTGAGCCCAGCGGGTGGAGGCTGCAGTGGCTGGGAGCGTGCCACTGCACTCCAGCCTGGGTGACAGAGTGAGACTCCAACTCAGGGGAAAAAAAAGAGAAAAGAAAAGAAAGTCATCTGGAGGTCATCTAGTTAAATTAGGGGGTCGGGGGAGGGAGATCTTACCAGAGTTGCATTTTGTAGAACACATTATACACAAAATAACTGTTGCCCACCCCACCCTTAAGGCAGATACTGTTACCCAGAAATTTACAATGAGAAAGCACAAGTTAACAGAGGTGCAATGATTTGTCCAAGTCCACTGTATGAATGAAAGTCTGCCTGCCCTAACTTCATGATTCCTTTCTTTCTGTAATCATCTCATTCATTGCCATCCTTTCCTGAACTGTCCCTTCCCTTGCCATATACCCATGTTTTATCAATAAAGCAACTGAGCTATGAATTGGGAATAGAACTGAGACCAGATTTCAAGACACCAGACTCCAATTATTTTTTGCGTGTATTTTATGTTTCTCTGATAATTCTCTTTCACCTATCCTTAAAACTTCCATGTTAGGTTTTTTTTCTCACCTTCAATGGTTTCTTGCTGAGCTACCTTGAGATGACTTCAACTTAGCCTCTCCTCCAAACCCTGGTCCCCACCTATCCTGACACCCATCGTTGTCCCAGTCCAAGGTCCAGTCTGACACAGATACTGATGTGGCTGGAGAGGTTTCCAGGGGCCTCCATCTGGAGAAGGAGGGAAGAGAGGACCACAGTAAAGAGACCCCTTCTTCCCTTGCCATATTCAACTCAAGGGACACTCATTTATAGGAGTGGGAAAAGACCAAGGAGAAAAGAAAAAAAAGGTTGAGGGAAACCTGCAAAGAACAAAGCAGAAGTTGGAGTCTTACAAAAAGGACTGGAGGGCAGGATCTCCAGTCAGCACAGAAGAGTAACTTCATGTTTGAGCCCTACTGCACCCTTTCTGGAGCTCACTCACCTTCATCTTCTCCTGATTGGAATCTGTTTGCACAAAGCTGGCTAGGAGAAGGGGAAAAAGACAGAAGGCTCTTAAATGTGCAATCATGACTAGTGTTTGTAGACTACTAGTCAAGGGCCTGAGATCCTTGCATCCCCACAGTCTTTTGATACCTTATCAGGGACTAGCCCAACTCCACTCAGACCAATTGCAGGGCTGCGAGGATTCCTGCCTCCTTAGGGGGGCCTGAGGATTGCAAAACTCAAGCCATAACTTCACCTACACACACCTCCATGAGCACGCAGCGCTCACCAGTGCAATGAGGATCTGGGATTCAAAATGCTGGGAGAATTAAAATAAAAAGGTAATGACAAGACTTCTGAGGTCCTTGAAGACTATTGTCTATTTTTTCTGAGTGGATGGGAGTAGATGCTGATGCAGTCTACCAAACACTACAGTAAAGTCACTGTAAAAATGTTGACCTAGACATACCAAATATTATTTCTAATATTATTATTTGATTTTTTTATAAAGGATGAATTGACGACCTAGGATCTCTCAAGAGAGTTAGACTGATGGGAGTGGGGGTGGGGGATATTCACAATATATGTGAAGGACAACACATTAATATAGCCATTATACAAATGCTTTTATAATACTTATAAATGCTTACAAATGATTTATAATACTTATAAATCAGTAAGCAAAGAACTACCACACCAACAGAAAAAAAAAAAAGGCACCAGACAGGAAATCAATGGTATTTGTGGTAAGATACAATGTTCTTCCTCATCAATAATCAAAGAATTATAAATGAGAAAAGATCAAATCTGCATTTATCAGATTGGCAAAAGTTGAAAGGAATGGTGCTGCTCAGCCTGGGTGCTGTCTGGTATAGGAGACTCTCATACACTGGCTAGGGGGATAGGGAATACTAACGTTGTGAATTTTCTGGACGATAATCTGTCATTTTGAATGCAGTGCTTTTAAAAGTAAATAACAGCCGGGTATGGTGGCTCAGCCTATAATCTCAGCACTTTGGGAGGCCGAAGCTAGTGGATTTGCCTGAGCCCATGGGTTCGAGACCAGCCCGGGCAACTTGGTGAGACATCATCTCCAAAAAAATAAATAAATAAAAATCAGTGGGCGTAGTACGTGGTGCCTGTAGTTCGGCTACTTGGAATGCTGAGGTAGAAGGATCACCGGAACCCAGCAGGTCAACGCTGGGGTGGCCATGAGTGTGCCACTGTACTCCAGCCTGGGCAACAGAGTGAGACTCCAACTCAAAAAAAAAATTAAATAATTTTTTTTGTAAATAATGATAAATTTGAAGGAAGTTGCAAAAGCACTCCTTTTAATTTCCTGAAGGCCCCAGAGTCCAAGAAGAATCATGGAAACAAGACCCAAGTTCTCCTAAGAACCATCATCCATTCAGCAACAGTTTCCAACAACTGCTCGCTAGTCTTGACTGAAATTTTGTAATAGATGCATAGATTAATGTAGAACTGGAACCTCAGGAATTACTATGTTTCTCACACAAATAACATCATTAATTCCCATCGACCTTACAGAAGGCTGACCAAGATCTTCTTCCCTCTTGTCTACAGTATAGTTTTATTTTGTGAATGTCAAGTGCTAATGTTTGATTAATCATACTCATAATTACTTATTTTTGCAAGGTCCCTTTCTTGTTCTATTTATCCTTGATACCCTTTGATTCCCAAACTCCACTCTTCTTATCTTCACTATAAATATATATAGTTTAATATGCATATTGTTTGTATTCTTGAAAAACTTGTATATTCGTCATCAGGTTATTAGTTCCTTGAAGCTTAAAAAATTAAATACTCATTTTTTTCCCATTTGGACCTTAGTTTCAAAGGGTTGAGTTAGACTCTTAATTTTATGGCATTTATCATCATTAGGCTATGCAAAGATTCTTTTAAATTAATTATTAATTTTTTGGTCCCTAATCCACTGCCATTTTTGTAACTTTAACAACGAAGGAATGGCAAGGAAATACATTACACTCTGGAAAATTGGCAACCTTTGTTATGCTGCAACAAAACATTTGGAAAACTGTTGCCTATCATGACTGAGGCAGCAAAATCATAAAACAATAAAAACAACAACAAACAAGGGTGAATGTTGGTGTGTGTTGGCTGTTCCTGATGTTTTAGAACTACAACAAAGGGGTAGATTCAGTAACTAACTTGACTGTAATGAGAAAACCAACAAAGAGATGCTGAAAAATATTAGGATTAGTACAGAGGCTCAGGGTTTCCCCTTTACCACTCTTCCCACGCTCCTCTCCTCCTTCTATAGAACCGGCACTGCCAGCCCAGCTTTGCAAACTCTCATGTTGATTGAAATGATAAATTCTTCCTCTCCAGTTCTATGTTCCTTTCCAACCAGCCCCCTTCACCAGCCCTGCCTCTTCCTGGTTCACACAAAAACCTGCCTTCACTTCCTTAAAACTGAAGTCTGAAACGGGTTTAATTCTCACTGGTAGTGGAGTCTGGGTATTCATGAACTCTCTTGGAAAACAGAAGCTTTTTGTTATCCCAGATGTTTGAGATCTTCTTAGAGACCTCTAATATCAGGGGAGGAGCCCAAACAATGTCTGACTCAGTCATAAAGCTCCCCAAATCCTGCAGGTTTCCTGCTTTATGGCACCTCCTGCCCTCAGGAGCTCAATCTCTTGCCCTCCTCCCCTCTATCATAGTTTAAAGAAAGCATTGAAATTAAAATTATTAATTAAATTAAAATATTAAAATATTGAACCTCAATCCTCCCTAAGTTGTGTGACCTTGGGCAAGCTGCTCTCTGCCTGTGGTTCTCACCTATAAAACTAATACAAATTTCACAGAGCTAATTTTTAGGGGGAAAAAAAGGGCTAATTCATTTCGACTCAGTATTAGATCCAGCCCAAGGTAATCACCCTGTGTTAATTCAACATATGAATAAACTGATTTATCAAAAGTGGTGTGTTTAGTGGTGACAGATTATTACACACTGCTCCCCCCTTGCTGTTGTAAATTCCTTATTTTCTTCACCACTTTATCTTTGCTGATCAAACAATAACTCCTAGAGCAGAAGAGAAATTTTCATAAATTCTACCTCAATGGTCATTAAATGGCCTCTGAAGACTCTGTGTTTCATTGTTTCAGTTTCCCTGAAGGCAAGAACTATGTCCAGGGAGCTGAGGCTCAGAAGAAGGACACATGGAGGGCATTTCATGTCATAACCACCCTGATCATATCACATATGTAGTGGCTGCCTCCTCCTCTTCACGACTTCCACCAGAGTCCCATATCAAATTATCATTTTTTTTCTCGAATGTTGAAATCATCTCCTAACTGTCTTCTTTCTCCAGGCTCTTCTTCAATCCTTTTTTCCTCTACCTTGCTGCCACTGGAAACTTTAAATACCTATCTGATGCCATCTTTCCACTTATAAACAGGAATGCTAACCAATTTATTACAGCATCAAATCCAGAATTCAAGCATCTCCTGACATGCTCTTAACTGCCTTCTAGTCACCTTCGCTCCCAGTAGCTCCCTCTGTGAATCTCTCAGACATCTAAATTATTTCCATTTGCTGGGCGTGTGGCTCACACCTGTAATTCCAGCACTTTGAGAGGTGGAGGTGAGAGGATTGCCTGAGCCCAGGGATTCGACCAGCCTGGGCAACTTGGTGAGAGCTTGTCGCTACAATAAATCATAAAAAAAAAATTAGCCAGGCATGGTGGTGTGCACTTGTGAGTTCAGCTACTTGGAAGACTGAGGTAAGGATCACCTGAGTCCAGCAGGTCAAGGCTGAGGTGGCCATGAACATGGCCACTGCACTCCAGCCTGGGCAACCGAGTGAGACTGACTCAAAAAAAAAAAATTCTTTGCTTTCCTCAAAACACACCCTTTCAATTTAGATTTTTTTGTCTTGAAGGTCAAGTGTGCTGAGAACTTTGAAATCTCATCTTCCCTAGTTCAAATTATATGTACGTATAATTTGCATAATATATTAAATATGCATAATTACATAGAATGCAAATTATGTATACATATATATAATTTGAAAGGACAGAGAATTCCCACTGAAAGGCAAGAAATGCAATTTTATCAATTTTATCAAACAAGATTTTAGATGGGAATGTTTGTGAGTGACCTGAGTCATAGATCAAGGCTAAAAAGTCAGTCCAGGTCTAACTTAAACCATATGTTCTGTCACTTCCTGATTTTAAAATCCTATAATTACAAACAGTCCATGATCTTAAATATGATAGAAGACCAGGGTAGGAAAAATCAATATGTCTCAATTGCTGCCTATTTTTCCCAATCAGATTCTAATTTTTTCTTGAGGCAGTATTTTTATGAGAATAAGTTTCTTACACAATGTCACAGAGCTAGTGAGTGGCAGTCTAGAGACTGACCGAAACCTTTTAGACTCCCTAATCTAGAGTCTGTTAATGAATTAATTTTACCTGAAATTTGACAACAGATTTGTCTTTAGTTCCTTTGACCCTAAAGGAAACATTTGATTCTTTCTGAGATGCAGGACACCTCTTCATCTCAGATTCAAACCACAACTTCTGCAACCACCCAAATCTGACTTAGAGATGTCTATCCACTCTTTGGTTTTACTTGACTGTTCTCCTGAATTAGACAATCTTCCTTGGCATCTGGTATCCTCTCCCAGATCTCCAGGTTTTTCCTTACTCTGAGTTGTAAACATGAAGTATAGGGTCTACTCCAATTCTACCAATTTAAGTTAATATCTCTTATGTTTATGTAGAATTTAGTTTATCAGCCTCTTTCACATCAATAATTTCATTTCACCTTCACAATCAGCCAGTTACAGGGGTAGGACAGGCATCATTAGCTCAAAGTTGTAATGGAAAAGTGAGCTTAGAAAGGGAAAGTGACCTGGCCAAAGTTTCATAGTAGTATAGAACTAGACCATAAAGTTGAATTTTTATTTCAAATCCACTTGTCATTCCACCCTTTAGGGCTCAGATCCTCATAATATATGTATTTGGAAATGGAGGACAATTAATTCTAGAAAGATCACTGACTGTCTTCTTAATTTTAATCCTCACGTCTTCTCAACTTTC